TGATCACTGCAGTTTTGACCTCCTGGGCTCAAGTGGATCCTCTCTCACCTCAGCATTCCGCAGTAGGCTGGGACCACAGGTATGCACCACCACACGCCTGCTAACTTTGTTATTTTTTGTAGAGACAGGGTCTGTTGCCGCAGACTGGCTCCAAACTGGGATGCAAGTGATAATCCCCCACTCAGCTTCTCTAGGATAACAGGCGTGCGCCCCCCATGTACTCTACTTGTAAGGCTATGGGTTTGAGATACTGGAAGGATGGTCTTTTCACTTAAAAAAAAAAAAAAAAAAAAGCCAGGCATGGTGGCTCAAACCTGTAATCCCAGCACTTTGGGAGGCTGAAGCAGGCCGATCATGAGGTCAGTTCGAGACCAGGCCTGGCCAAATGGTGAAACCTGTCTCTACTGAAAATCCAAAAATTAGCTGATGTGGCTCTTGCGCGCCTGTAGTCCCCAGCTGCTCAGAAGGCTGAGGGCAGAAGAGAATCGTTGAACACGGGAGGCGGAGGTTGCAGTGAGCTGAGATTGTGCCACTGCACTCCAGCCTGGGCGACATAGCGAGACTCCATCTCAAAAAAATAAAAATAAAAAGTAATGAGACAGGGTCTGTTTTGCCCAGGCTAGTCTCAAACTGCTGGGTTCAAGCAGTCCTCCCAGCCTGTAGCTGGAATTACAGATGTACACTGTGACTTTTTCACTTACTTTTGAATGCAAATTTCTGTAAAGCTAGAATTAGCTGGATAAAGTTAGGGCCCTAGGGCTTGCTGTTTAATAAGCAGCTTAGTTCATCTAATCCAAAAAGACTATGTTGTCATCTTGGCCAGGCACAGTGGCTCATGCCAGTAATCCCAGGACTTTGGGAGGCTGAGGCAGGCAGATCACTTGAGCTCAGGAGTCTGAGATCATCTTGAACAACATGGTGAAACCCCGTATCTATAAAAAAAATACAAAAAATTAGCTGGGCATTGTGATATATGCCTGTGGTCCTAGCTACTCGGGAGGCTGAGGTGGGAGGATCACCTGAACCCAGGAGGTGGAAGCTGCAGTGAGCGGAAATTGTGCCACTCCACTCCAGCCTGGGCAACACAGTGAGACTGTCTCAAAAAACACACACACACACACACACACACAAATGGGGCCGGGCATGCTGGCTCACGCCTGTCATCCCAGCACTTTGGGAGGCTGAGGCAGGCAGATCACCTGAGGTCGGGAGTTTGAGATCAGCCTGACCAACATGTTGAAACCCTGTCTCTACTAAAAATACAAAATTAGCCAGGTGTGGTGGCGCATGTCTGTAATCCCAGCTACTTGGGAGGCTGAGGCAGGAGAATCGCTTGAACCTGGGAGGCGGAGGTTGCGGTGAGCCAAGATCGCACCATTGTACTCTAGCCTGGGCAACAAGAGCGAAACTCTGTCTCAAAAACAACTACTATGCTGTCAACTAAAACAACTATGCTGTCAACTAGAACGTACCAAAGCTCAAGTGCTCATGAAGTATCTGTTGAATTACAAGGCAGCCACCTTCATGACCTCAGCTTTACTTGACCCTTCCCTGATTTACTCCTACTTTATAATTTATGTGAATTCTCTTACCAGGCAACTGACAGCCCAAAATTGCAGCCAAAAAGAATATCCAACAGGTCGCAGGGCCAATGGTAAAACCTGTATAATTAACTCAACTGAGAGGCTCTCAGAACCCACCACTACCCCCGCCGGCTTTTTTTTTTTTTGGAGAGAGTTTCACTCTTGTCACCCAGGCTGGAGTGCAATGGTGCAATCTCAGTTCACTGCAACCTCTAGCCTCCTGGGTTCAAGTGATTCTCCTGCCTCAGCCTCCTGAATAGCTGGGATTACACGCACACACCACCACACCTAATATTTTTAGTAGAGATGGGGTTTCATCATGTTGGTCAGGCTGGTGTCAAACTCCTGACCTCAAGTGATCCACCCATCTCGGTCTCCCAAAGTGCTGGGATTACAGGCATGAGCCACTGCACCTGGCCCCAGACCCCCTTTCCTACCCATTAACTGTAGATTTCATTTCCTACACATTCTCCAGGGAAGACTCGAAAAACTGCATCAGACATTTCCCACTGCTGTATTCCACAGTGCAGGACTTCAGGGCTGAACCTGTCCACAGCTGGGCCCTATGGTAGTCTCACCAGGACTCCTCTAATCAGGCAGCTTGAGTGCTATCCTACCAGCCTGTAGGAGTGTCACTTCCTCTTTCCTCACCACAGCCCCCACTACCTCACCACTCCGCCTGGGCAAAAACAAAAAAAAAAAAGTGTGGGCAGCATCCTGTGCCTGCTTCTCTTACCCACATCAACTGCTGAGCCAGCTCGCCCCCACAGCCTGCTTGCCTAGCTTGCCACCCGGCCTGCTGTTGTTCCTCACATCACAAGGCTGAAGCCTGGGGAGTGGGTGAAGTGGGTCTTTCAGTTGCGAGCAGGCCAGAGACTGGAGTAGCTGCTGTAAGGGCAGCCATGCTTACCTACTTGTTCATGTCTCCCAGCAGAGCTGAACATGGCAGCAGTCCTCCCATCAGGCCAGGAGTGGGTCTCTTCCTTCGTACAGTCTGTGTCAGAGAAGCCTATGCACGGCCTGTCACACACAAGCTAGGATGTTCCCTCTGCCACTGTCGCAGAGTCCCATGAGCAATGTGAAAATGTAGCAGGCCCGAGGTTTTCTTCGCTGATCCAGAGAGGGTGAAGCAAGAGCAGGAAGCAGGTTCTACAGCTCTGAGGATGCTGAGCTAGAGCAGCAGCCTGATGGGTTACCAAAGCAATTACCTTCTGCCAGACTGTGTGCCAGGGCCTCAGAAAGACTCCAATATCCTTGCCCTCCTGAAGCCAGGGCCTAGCAGGACAAAACATATTCCAACTAGAGGTTGTCAGTCTGGTCAAGGGTTGAGGTAAACAGTAGGGGATGCAAGGCAGCCTGAGATAAGTACCAGACAGTCTCCAAAGACTCAGGCTGGCTCAGGCTTGCCTTTCCCAGTCAGTCATTTCTGGCTCTATGGCTATTACAGCCTGGGGCTGAAGGTTGGTTCTAGGGGTTCCTCCCACCAGCCCATAAATCTTAAGTTACCAAGGGGCAGTCAGAGGTAGTCCCAGAGAGCCCAGCAATCCATCCACACAGCATTACAGCAAGCTGCAGTGTGAGCCAGGAGAACTAATAGGAGAAAACCCAAGCCTCCCTCCAGCTCTGGGACCAGGAAAACAAT